GTGCTTGTTGTGCTCACACTGTGCTCACACTGCTGTGCTCATTGTGCTCACATTGTGCTCACACTGCTGTGCTTGTTGTGCTCACATTGTGTTCACATTGCTGTGCTTGTTGTGCTCACACTGTGCTCACACTGCTGTGCTCATATTGCTCACACTGTGCTCACACTGCTGCCCTCATTGTGCTCACTGCTGCTGTGCACCATCCCCATCCAGCTCCGTTGCCCCGGCACGCTCAGCGCAGGCATGGTGGCCACACTCTGTCCCCATCTGGCACCAGGATCGTGGGCCTGGGGGTGTCACTGTCACTGTGTGTCCTTGAGGTGTCACCCCCGGGGAGGGTTTGGGGTGAGCGGTGACCGAAGGGGACAGCTGTGCCTGCAGGGTGGCCCTTCCCCTGTCCCTGTGCGCGCTGCTCCCTCTCCTGGCTGCCGTCCCGCGCTGCCCTGCCTCAGTTTCCCCCATGTCCCCAGGGGGTGGGAGTGATCCCAGCCATTCTGTCCCTCCCATCCACCTTTTGTGCCCCCTTCCCCCAGCCCGAAGACATCGGCCAGTCGCCCATGGCCTCCATGCCTGACGGGGACAAAGTGGACCTGGAGGCGTTCAGCGAGTTTACAAAAATCATCACGCCGGCCATCACCCGCGTGGTCGACTTTGCCAAAAAACTGCCCATGTTCTCAGAGGTAATGGGGGGGGGAGGGGGTCCCACAGCCCCAGTGAGCAGCTATGGGGGCATAGGCAGAATGGGGTTGAGGGGGGGCCCGCAGCTCTGCTGACAGTGCTGTGAGGGGGGATACGGGATGTGGGGCACGGGGTTCTGGGGGGTGGCAGCCCCACTGTGGGGAGGGATATGGGATATGGCGACACGGGGGGGGGGGCCCGCAGCCCCACTCACAGCGCTGCGGGAGGTTATGGGATGTGGGATATGGGGCTGTTGGGGGTCCCGCAGCCCCGCTGACGTTGCGCCCCACAGCTGCCGTGCGAGGATCAGATCATCCTGCTGAAGGGCTGCTGCATGGAGATCATGTCGCTGCGAGCGGCCGTGCGCTACGACCCCGAGAGTGAAACGCTGACGCTGAGCGGGGAAATGGCCGTCAAACGCGAGCAGCTGAAAAACGGAGGGCTGGGGGTCGTGTCTGATGCCATCTTCGATCTCGGCAAGTCGCTGTCTGCCTTCAACCTGGATGACACCGAGGTGGCCCTGCTGCAGGCCGTGCTGCTCATGTCCTCAGGTCAGCGGCCACCCTGGGCTGGGGGGGGGGGAGGGGGGTCAGGAGCCCCCCAGCATTGGGGGATGCGTGGGGGGGAGACCCCGATGGTTGGGCATGAATGAGGCGGGCACCCTGATCCTCCAGCCATTGGGGGCACAGGGGCGGACACCCCAACACTCAAAACCCCAGTGTTTGGGGGCACGTGGGGTGAGCACCCTGGTACCCAAGGTGCCAGTATTTGGGGGCACACAGGGCGGGCACTTTGATATCTATAGCCTCAGCACTGGGGGCACAGGAGATGCCCCCCCTGATGCCCAGAGCGCCGATATTTGGGGGTGCAGTGTGGGCACCTCAGCGCCCAGACCTGAGCATTTTGGGGGCACCTGTGCCAAGCCGGGTGGGGAGCAGCAGGGCAGACAGCCCATAGGCCCCCCACAGCCCCGCTCCTTCACCCCGCACCTTCTGGGGCTGCCCACGGGTCGGACGCCCTTTGAAACCCCTTCTTTCACCTCCCCTGCAGACCGGACGGGGCTGATCTGCGTGGATAAGATTGAGAAGTGCCAGGAGACTTACCTGCTGGCGTTCGAGCACTACATCAACTACCGCAAACACAACATTCCCCACTTCTGGCCCAAGCTGCTGATGAAGGTGACGGACCTGCGCATGATCGGCGCGTGCCACGCCAGCCGCTTCCTGCACATGAAGGTGGAGTGCCCCACCGAGCTCTTCCCTCCCCTCTTCCTCGAGGTCTTCGAGGACCAGGAGGTGTAGGGCCCCCCCCCCACCCCGCCGCGCGCCCCCCCCCGCACCCCCCGGAGCCCCCCGACCCCACGCCGTGCGCAGCCCCCCCCCCACAGACCCCGATATTTCGTTCTCTGCCCCCCGAGGGCGGCGGTGCTGCACGGGGTGGGGGGTGGGGGGGCACGGCAGAAAGAGGGGGGGGGAGGATGGCAGAAGGGGGGGGGATCAGCGCCGCCGCTCGCCCCTGCGCCCCCCCCCTCCCCCCGGACGTTGCCGGCTTTTGTTTGTTTGCACAGGGAAGGGCCCCCCCAGCGCCGCGTCCCTTCTCTTCTGAGATTCTTATTTTTGAAGCATTTATTTCCCTCCCTGAGAGGCTAAAATGTAAAACTGCACTTTGCGAGAGAGGAGGAGGAGGAGGAGGAGGAGCGGGGAGGGGGGGCTCTGTGCTGCAGGGGGGGGGGCACCGCTCCGGCCACGCGCACTTTGGGGGCCACGAGGGGGGGGGGGGGGGTGAGGTGGACAGCGTTGTTTGGGTGGGGGGGGGGGGGTCCCCATCCCATCTGCGGGCTGCCCCCCCCCCCCCCTCCTCAGACCCCCGTTTTGGGGGCGGCGTTTGGGGCTTTGGGGTTTTTTCTTTGTCTTTCGGGTTTGGGCTGAGAGCAGCGGGTTTCAGTGCCAAGCGCGGGCGGAGGGGGGGGGGAAGGGGGGGGTCGCGCCCCCCCCCCCCCCCCCCGCACCCCTTTTTGTTCGTTGTTTGTTTTTGGTTGTTTTTTTTTTCCGTTGTCTTTTCCCCTCCCCCCCCCCCCCCCCGTCGGCGTCCTTCGATTCGATTCGTTGTTTTCCGTCAAAAAAAAAAAAAAAAAAAAGACAAAAAAAAAAAAAAAAAAACAACTCAAAAAAAGGAAAAAACAAAAACAAAAAAAAAACCCCCACAAAAAAAACAAAACAAAACAAAACAAAACAAAACAAAACAAAACAAAACCAGTCGCAGTGGCCCCGGAGTGGCCAGAAAACAGCGCGGCCCCCCCATGCACTACGGCTCCCCCCCCCCCCCCCCCACACCATCAGCACTTCGGGGGGCGCTGAGCGGGGCGGGGGGTGCGGCAGGGGCTGCCCGGATGCTGGCAGCGCCCCCCCGTGGCCCCCCCATAACCTCCCCCCCCCCCCCCCCCCCCCCCCCCACCTTTTGGGTTTGTGAATTTTTTGTTACCTCAGGCGGGGGCCGAGGGGGGGGGGGAGGGGGGGGGTGGGGGAGGGCGCGGGGCAGGCAGGCGGGCGGCCCCGGGTAAGCTAATATATATATATATATATATATATATATAAATATATATAAAATATATAATTTTTGTAATTAAAACAAAAAAAATCTTTTTACGGGTCGTTGGAAAAAAAAAAAAAAAAAAAAAAAGCGAAAAAAAAAAAAGCAAAAAAAAAAAAAAAAAAAGCCCAACGTGAGACACTTGGTGACCCCAGGGCCGTGGGGGGGGACGGGGATGTGTGGGACCCCCCCCCCCTCCTCTCCCCATCCTGCCCCGTCACAGCCCCCCCCCCCCTCCCCCCAGCCCCAACACCACGAGGGGCCACGAGGAGTGGGGCAGCAGAGGCTGCGCTGGACCCCCCCCACTCCCCATAGCTGGGCCCGGGGGGGGGGGACCGGGCAGCGGGGCTGTGGCAGAGCTGCGGTGCTGCGGGGGGCGGGGGGGGACGCGGTGCTTTCGGTGCAAATGTCTTAAGTCCCCCCCCACGCCCCGCCCCAGCACGGGGGTCCCACCGGGCGCAGCCCCCCGGCCCTGGGTTGTGCAATAGGGAGACGTGGGAAATGCCAATGCCTGCATGGGGGGGGGGGGGAAAGGGGGAGGGCAGGAACGCGACCCCCTCGGCAGCGCCGCACAGCCCCCACCCGCTGCCCACAGCCCCACGCGCGCCCCACCACCAGGCCTCACCGTTTGCCTTCGGGTGGGGGCACGGCGCCGGGAGGGGGGGGGGGCCGCGCCACGGCAGCGCAGCGCAGCTGCAACACGCGTGCAGGAGTCGTGCGGCGCTGCGTTGCTGCGATTCCCCTGCGGTGCAACGCGTGCAAAGTGCGTGCGGCCACCGCGCCGTTGCGGCGCCGTGCGGTGGTTGTGCCGCAGCGACGCGGCGCCGTGCGATGCTCGCGCCGTGCCGCCGCGGAGGCCCCGCAGCCCCGCAGCCGCGCCGCGTCCCCGCAGTGCCCCGCAGTGCCCACGTTGGTGCAATGCTCGCCGCCGGCCGTGTCACACCGGTGATGCCCGCGCCGCCCCACGCGCCGCCCCGCTCTGCCCACGCGTGGCCGTGCCGGGGCCGCGCTGGAAGTGTCTTAAAGCAGCCAACGTGCCCCAACCCGGGTGGGCAGCGCAGCCCCGAGGGTGGGGGGCACGGCCCTGTTTGGGGGGGGGGGGGAGGGGGCACGGCCCAGCCCCGCTCTCCCCTTCGGTGGGGTCCCCGCGCCCCCCGGCCGCTCCGTCTGTCTCCGTCTCGTGTCGCCGTCGCACGTCCAATGTGCTGTGCCCAATGGGGGGGGGGCAGCCCCCTCCCCGCGCCCCCACATCCCCTCCCCTCCCCCCCCCCCCAGCACATACCTCATGGCTCCGGGGCTGCCCCTGCGGGGGGGGGGGGGGGGGGAAGCGCGGCGGGACCCCCCAGTACTATGCATTGAGCCCCCCTCCCCGCGGTGGGGGGGCCGCGGTGGGGAGCGGCTGAATGTACGGCGCGGGGGGGGTCCGGGGGAGGGGGGGGGGGGGGTCCGGGCGGGCGCTGCTGAGCTCCGTGACAATCACAGTCTGTGACGTGCGATTTTCAACCCTTTTGTGTTATGGTCAGGATTTTAAAGAAAGATATTTTTATGGTAATTGTTGCTGGTCTATTTTACTATATATTTATGTAATAAATATATGATGAAAAAAAAGAAAACGGAAAAAAAAAAAAACGGAAAACAAAAAAAAACAAAAAAAACCCAAAAAACAAAAAACCTACCAACCAAACCCACCCAGCCAGCTCTGCTTCGCAACGGGGGTGGGGGGGTCCGGGGGGGGGGGTCAATGTGGGGAGGGGGAGGGGGGCTGTGCACGGGGGGGGTCCCTACTGCGCGTCGATGCGGAAGGAGAGCAGCTTCTCGGAGTGGAGGTTGTTGAGGGTGCGCAGGTCGGGCAGCTTCAGCAGCAGTTTGGTGAAGCGGGAGCTTTCGGCCGGCCGCGTCTTCTGCACCAGCGCCCTCAGCGCTCGGATCAGCGTCTCCTGCAGCTGCTCCACCGACGCCGCGTCCTCCATACCCGAACGGTCTGCGGGGCCGGGCGTCACCGCGGGGGGGGAGAACGACCCCGGGACCTCCCCCAGCACGCGCCCTGCCCGGCTCCGTCGCGGCACCCACCTGCCGACACCAGCACGACGGCGGTGAACAGCCCCAGCTCCTCGTCGCTGAGCTGCAGCGCGCTGAGCTTCTCGCTGAACTCGAACATGGAGCTGAGCAGGTCGCCCATGCCCATACCCCACAGCTCCTCCAGGCTGTATTTGGTGCGGCTCATGAACGTCACCGTCTGCTCCTTCACGTTGAACAGCGAGGCGAAGCGCACCATCAGCACCTGCGGCACATTGGCAACGGCGTCGTGCGGCTCTGCGGGGCACCGTGCTGGGGTGTGGGGGGCTGCGAAGGGATGGGGGGGGGGGCTGCACTGGGAGGTGGGGGGCTGTGCTGGGTTGCGGGGCGCTGCTAGGACGCTGCGCCTTGTGCACCACCACGCAATGCCCTGCAGCACTGCCGGGACACGGAGCGCCGTGCGACGCCACGTGGCACCGCGCTCGGATCCGAGGCACCGTGCAACGCTGTGCTGCATCGTGCCGAGCTGCTGCATCGCCGTGCAACGCTGCAGCACTGAGCGCTGTGCAACACTGGGGGCACTGTGCCGTGCAGCGCCGGGATGTGGAGCAACGCGATGGGTTGTGGGACACCGTGCAGCGTCCCAAGGTCACCGGGCGCCGTGCTGGGATGCGCAGCACCGTGCGATGCCCAGACGTACCTCGAAGGTGCCGGCTTTGAGCAGGGTGACCTGGTCGTGCTGGGACAGCGCCTGGAAGCCGGGAATGTGCTTGGCGAATTCGACCACTTCGCGGACGGCGGGCGTGAAGCTGAGCGAGAAATCCTCCCAGATCTCCTGCACCGAGCGCCCGCTGCGCCCCGCCGGGTGGCTGTTCATGGGGCAGGCCTGCGGGAGCGGCGGCTCAGCGCGGCCATTAGCGCAATTAGCGGCCGTAATGAGCGGGGGGGGCGGAATGGGAGCCCCCGTTGGGCTCACCGGCAGCACGTCCTTGGGTCCGCGGGGCCACGCGCAGCCCCGCGCTGTGGGGTCGGGGTATGCGGCGGTGGGGGGGGGGCAGAGCCGGGGCTCGAGGGGGGCGGGGGGTCCAGGCGGGGGGGGCCGCGTCCCAGCGCGGCTGGGCGCCGTCGCAGCTCGGGGGGGGGCCCAGCTTGTCGTGCGCGTAGACGAAGATCTCCCGGTGCGCTTTGGCCACCTGAGCGATGACGTCCTCGGTGGCCCCCCCGGGGCTGGGCGAGCGGGGGGGGGTCAACTGCTGCGGGAACTGGGAGAAGCAGGCGGGGGGGGGCGAGCGGCGGGGGGCCGGGAGGCAGCGGGCGGCCCCCCACGGGAACGGGTCCCTCGCCCAGAGGTGCCGCCCCCGGCACGGCGCTGCCCACGCTCATGGCGCTCTGCATCTCCGCCAACATCCGCTGCTTCTCCCGCTTGGGGATGCGCCCGAAGCGCACGGCTGTGGGGACAGCAGGGTTAGGGGGCACGGGGAGACCCCCCCAGCACGACGGGGAACGCCGGTGGCACTGCCGTGTCCCCCCTCCCCCCCCAACCCCACAGACACCGAGCAGGAAGAGGGCAGAGAATGGGGTGGGTGCAGCACCCGGGGCACCGCGCGCAGAGGAGAGCACAGCCTTGGGGGGGTCCCAGCCTTATAGGAGCGTCCCGGTGCTACTGGGAGGGGGGAGGCACAGTCAGGGTAGGGATCCCGGCCCTGGGAAGGGGTCCCGGCTCTGTGGGGGTGTCCCAACTCTGGGGTGGGAGGGGGGTAGGGGGTCCCAGCCCGGGGAGAGGGGGGGTCCCATGTCTGTAGAGAATCCCAGCCCATGGAGGGGGGTGGGGGGGGTCACAGCTCCAGGGGTGTTCCAACCCTGACCCGGGTCCCGGGCATGGGGGGCTCCACCCCAGGGAGTGTCCCAGCCCCGCGGGGGGGTCCCGGCTCACCGTCGCGGGACATGCCGACCAGCAGGCACTTCTTGAAGCGGCACTGCTGGCAGCGGTTGCGGTTGATGCGGACGATGGAGCAGTTCTCATTCTTCAGGCACTTCTTGTACTGGATGTTCTGCTGGATGCTGCGGCGAAAGAACCCCTGCGGGGCGCCGGGGGGTCACTGGAGGTCTCCTCCTCCCCCACCGCCTCCCCCCACGCCCCAGCCCGTACCTTGCAGCCCTCGCAGGCGTGCACACCGTAGTGGAAGCCAGAGGCGACGTCACCGCAGACCTTGCAGAGCAGCACCATGCCGTTCAGCTCTGGGGGGAGCACCGGGGGGTGAGCGCAGCGCGGGGCCGGGGGGGCGTTCCACCCCATCGCCCCCTCCCATCCCACTCACTGGTGACATTGGTGCCGTTCTTATTGGGCGAACCGCGGCGTCGCTCATCCGCTGCCACCGCCACTGCGCCGGGGAATGCGGCCGAGGGGCCGTAGGGTGAGGAGGAGGAGGAGGAGGAGGAGGATGAGGAGGAAGGCGAGCCGTCATCGCGGGGGGGCAGCGGGCCGCCCCCGTAGGGCCGGGAGTCCTGCAGGGAGCCGGTGGGCGACGGGGGGAAGTAGAGGGGGACGGGCTGAGGGCCGCCGGCGGAGCCTTCGCTGCAGAGCGGGACTGGGCTGGCGCGGGGGGGGGACCCCACGGAGCCCACGTAGCTGATGACACCGCCTGCGGGAAAGGCACGGAGAGGATCAGAACGGGTGGGGGGGCCGCGGGGAGCGCCCCGGAAGGGCCGTACCCAGAGCTGCACGTGTGCCACGGAGCGGGGTCAGCGGGGCGGGTGGCACATGGGGGTGCGTCCCACGTGCCGTGGGGACACGCGGCCCGGAAACGGGGGTGGGAGGGCGTGGGGAGGGAATGGAGAGATGGGAATCCGGGGACGGGAAAACCCACGGAGGAAATACTGGACGGGAACGGCGAGATGGGAACCCCGGGCTGTGGGGTGGGGGGGCAGCGCCAGCACTGTGCGGGAGGAGGAGAGAGGAGGGGAATCCCCATAAGGGCACGGAGCCCCCACCCGCTGTACGGCCCGGCCCCGCGTGGGGTCACGGCCCCGCGTTTCCCCCCCCCCCCCCCACGCACACAGCGGCTGTTGGCGCGGGGCCGGGCGCGAGCGGAGCGCGCAGCCGCGTGTCCCCCTCGGGGTCGTTGCGGGGCGGCGGATCACGGCGGATCGGGGACGGCGGATCCGTTCCCCCCCCCCCCCCCAAACTCCGAAGGTAGGGGGTGCCCCGCAGATCCCACAGCAGCGCCGCCTCCCCGCAGGCTTCACCGAGGATCCCCGACCCGAAGCGCCGCCGCGAGGACGCACCCGGAGGGGTTCCCCGGGACGCGGGGGGGCCCGGAGGCGTCAGGGCCCCGCGGCCGCCCCCCCGCCGTCCTCACGCCGCCGCCCCACGTGCTCCCCCCGCACGTGGCCGCCCCCGGCCCCGCCCCTCACGCGTCGCCCCGCCTCCCCGCCCCCATTGGCCGCCCCCCCCCACGGCGGAGCGCGCGAGCGGAGCGCGGCGTCCTCGCTTCCGCGTGTGACGTCACGGGGAGGGGGGGAGGCGGTGACGTCACGAGGGGCCGCGACCAATGGGCGGGGGCGGGGCGGGGCTGCGGGGAAAACAAACTCCGCACGTGGCAGCGCCGGGGAGGGGGCCACGTGCCGGGGGGGGAACCAGCGCCTCCGCCTCCACCGCGCCCGGTGCCGGTGCGGGACCCCCCGGTGCCTCCCGGGCCGCACACGGAGCTCCCGGTGCCGCAGTGCCCGCGCCGCGCCGCGGGGGCCCGCCCGGGATCGCTGCGCTTCCGCAGCGCTGTCAGCGCATCCCGGTACCGCCGCTCCGCACTGCGCCGTACCGCTGTCAGCACATCCCCGTGCCTGGTACCGCTGCCCGATGCCGCTCGGTGCCGCTGTCAGCACATCTCGGTGCCCGGTATCGGTGCCCAGCACCGCTCGGTGCGGCTATCAGCGCGTCCCGGTACTCAGCAGCAGCCGGTGCCCGTGTCCAGCCCACCCGACCCGCTGCCCTACACCGCCCGGTGACGCTGTCAGCGCGCTCCGGTACCGGTGTCGGGGGACCTCCCCGGTGCCGCACCGCTCCCGGTCCTTCTCTTGCTCCGCGGCACTGCGCGCTCCCGGGACGGCTGAACGCCTCCACCGCACTCCCGGTGCGCGTACCGGTGCCGCTCCGCGTCCCCGCAGCTCCGCTCCCCCGCAATACCCGCGGCGCGGGCACCGCTCCGGCGGCACTGACCTGTGCTGCCGGTATCTGGGGCGGCCATCTCCGAACCGAGCCGCGCAGTGCCGCACCGGACCGGACCGAGCCGCGCAGTGCCGCCCGGTAGCGCCGCTGTGCGCCCGCCGCCCCCCCCCCGCCCGCCACCGGCCGCGGCTGCGCACTGGGCCGCACGCGGCGCCGCCGCCTCCCCCATGTGATTCCCGGGGAGAGCCTCGTGCCCCAGTGACACACTTTCCGCCGGCGGCCCCGCACCGCGCCCGGCCCGGAACCGGGGAGCGCCGCGCTGCGGCACCGGGACCCGCACCGCGCGGGAGGGGGAGGAGGCGGCGGGGCGGCGGTGCAGCCCCTGCGGCGGGGACGCGCGGTGCGGCGATGTGCCCCGCTCCAACGGCACCGCGCGGCACCGGGACCCAACGCGGCCGCGTCCCCTGCGGGGCTGCACCGGGCGCTCCCGCCACCCCGAGTGCCGCTGCCCGTCGGCCGGGGACCCCCGGTGCGCCGTGGGGTGGCACTGTCACCCCGCACGGTGCTGTTCCCTACGCGGGGACACCCGGCCACAGCGCGGCCAAAGAGCTCGGGGGGGGGCGGGAAGGGGGGATAAGAGGAACACTGCGGTGCGCCCCGCGCTGGGGACGTGCCAGCACCGCGAGGGGACATTGGGACGCACGGGGAAGCGCGGCCAGGATGCCCCCAAAGCCAGCAGGAACGTTCCCACGGTTCCCCACGTCGTGTCCCCCCCCCCCCCCAGCCCCACGTCACGGCCCGGGGCCACCTCGAGCCGAGGACGTCACGTGTCCCCGCGCTCAGGTGCCAGGTGAGCGCTGCAGGACGCACGTGTCCCCCCGCGCCCCCACCCCCGCCCGTCCCCGCGCGACGCCGTGTCCCCGTGGGGCCGTTCCCGGCTCCTTCCCGCGCCCAGCGGTGCCGCGGGGCCGCGTGTGGCCGTGCCCAGGTGGCCGCGGTGCCGCGCGGTGCCGTGCGGCGGTGCCACGTGCGGAAGCGCAGCGCTGCGCAGCGCACGGGGATATTTTGAGCAGCGCTGTTTACCTCACCGCACCTCTTCCGGGAAAAGCGGGGGGGGGGGTAGAGGGGGTTCCGTGCTGCTTCTCCCCCCCCTCATCCCAAAGGCCGATTGCTGGGGGGCAGGGGGTGCAGCCCTCCCACCACCCCCCCCCCCTCCGTGCTGCAGTCCGACGTACCCACTGCATAGCTGCGGTGTCCCCACGGGGCCGAGGTCACCGTGCCTGGCCGTGTGCCACCGCGGTCACAGCGTGCCTCAGTTTCCCCACCTGCAGGAGTAGGCAGTGCCGGGCGGGGGGAGAGGAGGATGGAGGTGGAGGGGCTCACCCGGGAGTGGAGGGGGGGGAGGGAGCTGTGACCCAAAATCCACTTTTGTCCCCACGGGCGCATTCGTCCCCATGGGTCCCTACTGACGGTGCCCCACTGGAGCACTTGGGATGCGGGGCACGGCCGCTCGCTGGACGCGGGGGGGTCCTTGTGTTATGGGCGGCGAGCTCGGCCCCAGCTCGGCCCCAGTTCGGCCCCAACTCGGCCCCAACGTGGCCCCAGTTTGGCCTCGCGGCTCTTGGCCGGGCCGGGGCTGCGCGCTGCCAGGACGCGCCGTCCCCTCCCTGCAGAGGGAGAACACGGGAACGCGGGCGGTGCCCGGCGGGGCCACAGCGGCATCCGCACCGCTCCGATCCAAGGATTAGGGGTGCGGGCTCAGGGGCGCTCAGATCCCTGGGGTGCGGGGGTTTGGGGTGCAGAGCGTTCACATTCACGGGGTGCAATGTGCGGGAGTTTGGGGGAGCTTCCATCCATGTGAGCGGGATTTAGGGGTGCTCGGATCCTTGGGGTGATGGGTTGAGGGGTGCAGGGTGCTCACATCCACGGGGTGCAGGATTGAGACTTGTAGCCATGGGTGCGGGGTTTAGGGCTGCAGGATTTCGGGGTGCCGTGTTTAGGGGTGCGGGACTTAAGAGGTGTAGAATAGGGGTGCGGGGTTTAGAGGTGCGGGATTTCGGGGTGCGGAGTTTGGGGGCGATGACACTGGAGGAGTGCAGGGACACAGCTGGCCGGGCTCCACGTGCGGGGTGGGGGCTCGATGCGGTGCAGGACCCGGCGACGGGGGGGGGGGTGGGGGTGCAGCAGGGGGTTGCCGTGCCCCCTCGCAGCCCCTTCCCGACCCCCGCACCCCGGGTTATGGCTGCAGCCGCCGTCTGTGGCCGCGCATGTGAGCGGCGCTCCCCGTTCCTCTCCTCCTCCTCCTCCTCCCCCCCCCCGCACCCCTCTCCGCACAGCTCAGCGTCACGTGGCGGCCGCATGTGAGCGCTGCTCCATTTTTAGCCGCCCCGCGCGCCCCGCCGCGCTGCAGAGCCATGTGCGGGCGGGTGCGGGTGCACGTGGGGCTGCAGCAGCGCTGCGCAGAGCGGGGGGGGGTGGGGGTAGGGGTGGGGGGGACATGCGGGGCGCTGCGGGGGGACCCCGCCGTGGGGCAGCCCCATAATATGTGTGGGTGTGCAGGGGAGCGTGCCCTGCGTGTGGCGTCAGGGTGCGGGGTTTGTGCGGGGGGGGGGGGGGCAGGGTCTGCGGGGGGGCTCTGTGTGCGTGTGTGTGCGTGCAGCACGGCCCTGCAGGGGGTGCGTGTGCTGCTATAAGAACAGCCATGTAGGTGCAGGTACATACGTGTATCTGTGTGTGTGTGCATGGCAGGGCTGCAGCCCCCCCCCCCATGTGTGTGTCAGCCCAGTGTGTGCGAGTGCACAGTGGGGCTGCCGAGGCTGCCTGCAGGGGTGTGCATGAATGAGCAAATGTGTGCATGGTGTGTGTGTGCATGTACACCTGTGTGTGTGCTTACATGTGTATGTGTGTGCATGGAGAGGTGTCTGTGCATGCACACAGCAGGCTGCAGGCTCTGCAGGGAGATGTGCAAGTGTGAGCAAGGGTGCCAGTGGATGTGCAGTGTGTACATGCTAGTGCATGTGTGTGCGTGTGCATGCAGCAGGGCTGCAGTTCCTCACTGCAGGGGTGTGTGTGCAGTGTGTGTGCAGCACACAGTGAGGCTGCAGTCTCTCCCTGCACTGTGTGTGTGTGAGAGCAGTGTGTGCACGTGTGTGCAATGTGTGTGTGTGTACACACAGCAGCAGTGCAGGCCCTGCAGTTGTGTGCATGGGATGCGTGTGCATGCGTGTGCGTTCTGGGGCTGCAGTCTCGCAGCGTGTGCACGTGCTTGCACGTGGAAGCCAGAGGCTGCAGCCGCTGCCAGCAGAGCTGTGTTTACATCTGTGTTGATATCTGTGTGTGCATGCGTGCACACGTGCCCTGGGGCCTCATTCCGTGCAGCAGCGTGCACACGCGATGTGTGTGCGTGCAATGCGTGCCCGCCGTGCAAACACCATGGGCTGCAGACCCTGCAGGTGTGTCAGCGTGTGCGTGCAGCTGTTTGCACGCGTGTCCGGGGAGCTGCGGTCCCCTCGGAGCTGTGCACACAGATGCACGCGCAATACGCACACGCGGGCACACGCAGCGCACACTTGTGCAACGCACAGCCGTGTAATCGAGAGGCTGCGGGAGTCGCCGTGCGGGCAGCGGGGCGCCGTGCGGGCGGAGGGGCCGCAACGGAGGGGGTTGGGGGGGTCCCTGTGAGGTGCGGGCGGCGCCGCCGCACTCGGGGGCCCCCTAGCGGCCGCGTCGGGGTGGTGCGGGGCAGTGCGGGCGGCGGGGCGGGACCCCCCCCCCCCTCCCACCCCGCACCGCCGCGCACGCGCCCCGCGCCCGGTTTGAAGGTACCCGGGGGGCGGCACTGAGAGCGGCCCGGCCCTGGGGGGGGGGGGGGTGTTGTGTGATGGGGGGCAGAGCCGTGAGGATACGCTGCGAGGGGTGGGGGGGGCTGCGGGGAGAGCCGAGAGGTATTGCGGGGAGAGGCTGAGGGGGGGGGGTCGACGCCGTCAGGGGAGGAGAACCCGGGGGGAACCACGAGGAAAGGGCCGCGAGGAGCGGCGGAGGGGCACCGTGCGGGGGGGCACCGCCGTCGGGCCGCGAGGAAGGGCGCTGAGCGATCCGGGGCGCCCATCCCCACCTCCCCCACCCCCCCAGACCCGCGCCGCGGGGTATGAGCGCGGGGCGGCCCCGGTTCCCCTCGGGCCCCCGCGGCCGCGCGCTGCCGTTGTGCCGGCGGAGCCGCGCCATGGCGGCGGGCGGTAGCGGAGCGGCGGCGGCGGCGCGGGGCGGCGGCGGAGGGCCGTGAGGATGCGCTCCACCACCGCCTTCCGGGCGGGCGGCGGCGAAAGGACGGGACCGGCGGGGGAGCGGGGCCCGGGGGAGCGGCGGGAGGAAGAGGAGGAGGAGGAGGAGGAAGAGGGGGAGGAGGAGGAGGGCCGCCCGCCGCCCCGCAGGCCCAAGGAGCCGCCGCTGGGGGCACACAAGGGCCGGGCGGGAGGCGGCGGGGCGCCGGGGGGGGCTCCCGGGCCGCCGGCCGAGAGCTGGGCCGGGCCGGTGCCGCTGGCCGGCGGCAAGCAGGCGGGCGCGGGGGATGCCAGCGGCCGGCCGCGGTACCAGGCGGTGCTGCCCGGGCGCGGCGCGGCTCCCGCGGCCGCCAAGGAGAGCGCAGGAGCGGGGAGCGCCGAGTCGGGCCCTCCGCCGCCGCCGCCGCCTCCCGCCGAGGCCAAGTGGAGGAGCGCGGCGCGGAGGAGCGGGATGGGCGCCGGCGGCGGCTCCCCCGGGCAGGCGGCATGTCTGCGGCAGATCCTGCTGCTGCAGCTGGACCTCATCGAGCAGCAGCAGCAGCAGCTGCAGGCCAAGGAGAAGGAGATCGAGGAGCTCAAGGCCGAGCGCGACACGGTACGGCGGGGAGCTGGGGGGGGGGGGGGGCGGGGATGCGGGGTTGCCGCGGCACACGAAGGGTTAAACCCCCCGGGTTATTGCCCCCCCCAGGTAAGTCGTCCCCATGTGGCACCCAAGGGGTTAATTCCCCCCCACGGCACACAGAGGGTTAAACCTCCCCCGTTCCCCCCCCCCCCCGGTACTTCATGCCCCACCCCCAAGCGTTAACGCTCCCCCAGGGATTTCGTGCCCCCCCACTACGGGGGTTCCCCTCCCCCAGTTTCCTCCGGCCGTGCAGTGCCGCCCCCCCCGGGATAAAACCCCGGGCATTTCCCCCTCCGGTTCCCCCCCCCCATTACAGCACACGGGGTTGATGCCCCCCCACATTGCGATCTCTCCCCCCCCCCCCCCCCGGAGGGGTTGCCGCCCCCCACCTTTTAACACCCTCGCCCCAGACAAAGGCGGGTCGCTTCGCCCCCGGGCCTTGGGGGGGAGTGAGAGCCCGGGGTTACCGGCGGGGGCACAAAGGGTGGGGGCGGGGCGGGACGGCGGGGGTTAACGGGCCGCGCCCGTCGCCATGGCAGCGTGGGGGGGGGAGGAAGGGGGGCCTTAAAGAGCCCGCGATGCCTCCCGGCCCCGCCGCCCGGGGGTTTCACTTAAAGGGGCCGCGTCAGCCGCGGGGTGGGGGGGGGGGGGTGGGGGGCTGAGGAGCTCTGCTCCTCCCCCCTCGCGCCTGCCGCAGCCGCACAGAGCTCACGGCGAAGGCCAGGCTGGTGCTGCCGCATCCCCCCCCCGCCGCTGCAGGGCCGGCACCAACTGCGGTGTGTGTGTCCCACCCCGGTGCCGTGCCCCCCACGGGTGGGAATGCCCTATCTGCATTGCTTCCCCCCCCCCCCCCCCCCCCCCCCCCGTGTGCGTTGCCCCACAGATACGGTGCCCCCCCGAGGTGGCTGTGTTTGCAGGGCTGTGCATTTAGGAGGCACCCTGTGTTACAACTGACCCATGTGCTGCTGCCTGCCGTGGGGCTGCCGGGCTCCCGGTCCCTGTTCTGTGGTGCTCTGTGCTTCCCTCCGAGTCCCAACCCTCATCTCCATGGTCTGCAGCAGCCTAAAAATAACACCCCCCCACCCCCCCGCAGCCCTTTCCCCGGGGGGGGCTCTGCAACAAAACACATCTCAGGGTGTCCCGGGGTGTTTGCCTGCGCTGCAGAGCCCTCCGAGCTGCCCATCCTCTGCGCCCAGCAGGGCTGTGAATGCAGCTTTCTAATAAAGACCGCATCTAATTATGAGCTGCGTCCTCGAGCCCTCAGAGCGCTCGGAGGGGATGCGGCAGAGTTGGAGCGACTGCCATCGCTGCTCGTCACGTGCCAGGTTTGTGAGCCGATGCCCTGCTGCAGTGGGGATGGGCAGCACTGCTGGGCGAGAAGCAGCCGGGCAGCGAGGGGCCATCTTGTGCCGCTGGGGCATCTCAGGTCGTGCATCTGCACACCTGCTGTGCCCGGCTTCCCCATCATTAGCATTACGGGGCTGCGTTGCCTGCAGCACGCAGACATCATCGCCCTGCCGTGACTGGGCGCAGTCTCTGCTCTCAGCCTCCCCTCTCCAGCTCAGGAGAGCGAGCATGAGTTAATGATGGCACTCGCTGCGCGTAGCAAAACCTGCAGCGTCCCACAGCCCGCTGACCTTGGGGTGCGGGCGCAGCGCCAGGGGTCGGGTGCCACCTAGGGGCTCCTCCTGTGCCTTGGAAGCTCTCCATTGCCCGAGTTGTAAGGTAAAAGCCAGGACAGGCACAGTTTGCTATGGTCAGGAAATAGGAAGGCACTGACTGCGGTCCTCCGTGTCCTGCGATGGCTGAGCCCTTCTGCAGGCACGCTGTGGGTGCTGCAGGGTGGCTCTCACTGGAGGTATTCCCTGCTCGCCCCTCAGCACGCGTCTGAGCCGTGCTGTTTCTGTGTTCCAGCTCCTTGCGCGCATTGAGCGCATGGAAAGAAGAGTGCAGCTGGTGAAGAAGGACACCGAGAGAGAAAAACACAGGATTTTCCAGGGCTTTGAGGTGGATGAGAAGGCCGAAGCAGAGGCGTGTGAGAAACTGCCGCTGGAATGCCCGCAGGAACTGCTGGAGCCCTCGCAAACCCTGCAGCCCAAGCACTTCCCCTACGGCAGGAATGGGAAGGGGCATAAAAGGTAGAGGGTGCTGTGGGGCCGCTGGTGGGGAAGTGTGGGGAAGTGTGGGGCTCACCCAGCTGGCTGTGGGTTTCCCTTTCTCCTTCCTCTGCTCCAGCCAGGCTCGCTCTCATTGTGTTTGCCCGTTCTGTTTGCGGTCCTGCTTTTGATTAAAACCCCAGAGATGTGTGTTTGTGGTGCCTGGCCTCTCCTGTGTGTGCAGGTGCTCTTAAAAAGCAGCGGTGATGCACCTGAGAGGGAAAAGTCTTGAAGCTGTCAGCGGAGCAGCGGTGTGCAGGGCTGGCAGCTGTGGGTGCTGCAGCTCAGCAGTCCTCTCTCTTGCAGGAAGCCGGCGTTTGGGAGCGCAGAGAGGAAAACGCCCGTTAAGAAATTGGTGTCTGAGTTCTCGAAGGTGAAGGGTAAAACTCTGAAGCACTCTCCGGTGAAAGAGGAGTCGAGTGGTTCTTTGTCTGAAACTGTTTGCAAACGAGAACTGCGGAGCCAAGAGACTCCAGAAAAAAACAGGTCGCTGCTGGAGACCCCGCTCAGACCCTCCGCCCCGCTGAAGGGCCCCAGCAGCCACCCCAAGGAAAAGGGCTTCTTCAGCGAGATTGACGATCTGCCCTACCTTTCCACCACGGAAATGTACTTGTGTCGCTGGCATCAGCCCCCCCCATCACCGTTGCCGTTACGAGAGCCCTCCCCAAAGAAGGAGGAGACTGTAGCAAGTAAGCGATGGAGAGCCTGCAGAAGGTGTGCAGGCAGGGCTGGCAGCTGGTGGAGCGTTGCCTGCCTTGGGAGCCCTGTGCCCTTCCCCAGAGCTGGCACAGAGCAGCGTCCCGGATGCAGTGGAGATATGGAGCAGATTGTCTGCGCCGCCCGAGCGCTCCAGGCCCTCTCTGGCTCGTGCTGCCTGTGCTGGGCAGCAGGGCAGGGGGCTCTGGGTCCCGCTCTGCGTGTGTCAAACCAGCCTGGTTTCCAGCACAGCCTGTGTGCCTGTTTGAGCAAAATGTGAAGCAACTTCCTGCCTGTGGTCGGGAAATGTGTTTCTGGGTTGGTGCAGTGCAGTGTGATGTGTTTGTTCCTCGCCGGAGCGCCTGGGCAGAATCCCTGCCTCCTGCTGGGCCCTGTTCTGGGTGTTTTCCTCCTAGCCCCACAGTGCAGCCTGACTTGGGGAAGGAAAAGCCCTGAGCTCTGTGAGGTGCCCAGCACACAGTGGGAACGGGGAGCTGCCAGGTTTGCTGCATTGTCAGCTGCCTGCAAACACTGGATAGCAAAATGTTGTGAGTGAGGAGGAGGCCTCTGCATTCCATCCCAGTGCCTCAGGTCTGCTGCGAGAGGCAGGGCAGCTTCCAGCCCTCCCTGTGCTGCCAATCCCAGAGCAGCCTGGCTGGAGCCTCCTGGAGCTTGGGACTGGTGGCGTAGAGTGAGCTTGCAGTGCCTCTGTGCTGGGTTAACATCTGAACCTTCCCTTTGCAGTTCCATCTTGGAGGGACCATGTTGTGGAGCCCCTGCGAGACCCCAACCCCTCAGACATCCTGGAGGTACGTGCGAGTCACAGCTGGCCCTGTGTGTGTGGCTGAGGTTGCAGCAGCCTTCTTGTCACCATCAGAACCGATGTTTGAAGGCACCTGCAGCGGGTGAGGGGGACAAATCAGTGCTGGGAGGAGCACCCATCTCCCTTTCTCTTTATGCAGAACCTCGATGACAGCGTGTTTTCCAAACGGCATGCAAAACTGGAGTTGGATGAAAAACGAAGGAAAAGGTAGGAATAAATGCAGTGCTGCAAGCGTAGCCCCCGCTGGCCTGCACGGCTGCTGGCCCCCAGCTGCAGCTCCTCACTGCCTACGGGTCGCTGTTTTCCAGATGGGACATCCAAAGGATCAGGGAACAAAGAATTTTACAGCGACTGCAGCTCAGAATGTATAAAAGGAAAGGAATTCAGGAGTCGGAGCCTGAAGTTACCTCATTTTTCCCTGAGCCGGATGATGGTGAGAGCCTGGCAGCGCAGGGAGGGCTGCCCGCCCTCTGCAGCTCTGTGACGCCGTTTCTCTCCCACAGTGGAAAGCTTGCTGATCACCCCCTACCTGCCTGTCGTTGCCTTCGGCCGCCCCTTACCCAAACTGACCCCACAGTGAGTACAAAGGGGCACTGGAGATGGGGCGTCGCGGATGGGGATGGTGCTGTGGGGTGCTGAGTGCTGGTTCTGCTGCAGGAACTTCGAGCTGCCCTGGCTGGATGAGCGCAGCCGCTGCCGGCTGGAGGTGCAGAAGAAGCAGACCCCCCACCGGACCTGCAGGAAGTAGCAGCGCAGCGGAGCCGGGAGCTCTGTACGTTGCTGAGTCCTTGCCCTCTTTGTTCTTGTTCAGGGATGGTTTTGTTCCCTCCATGCCCTGGTTTTGTTCTCTCGTTTTCTTTTCAACACGTTTCAGACTCGTCCCCGCCGCCTGTGCTTTGAGCTGGGGTTTGTCTCCCATTTGTGTTCCTCCCTCCTCGGCAGCCCTGCGTGCAGCAGTGGGGTGGGAGCCTCCTGTGGGTCCCAGCGGGTCTCAGTGTCCGTGGCAGGCATGGACCGGGCCCTGCCTGTGCTCCCTGGAGAAGGGCTGCGGCGGCGCTGGCCCTGCTCTGGTGTTGGGTCAGGAAACAGCGCTGAGCAGTTGCCCGAGGCTGAAGCTTCCGTCAGCCACCGCCTTTGTGTTGTTCCTGTTGAGTGGCTGTAACGTGGTGGGAGGAGAGTTTTAAAAGGAAACGAAAACAAACTTTTTTTTCTTTTTTTTTTTTCCTTTTTTTTTTTTTTTTTTCTCGTGTGTGAAATAGAAATCCTCAACGCACAACGTTGGTTCTTTTTTAATTTAAGCCTTCTGAGGGCGGCAGCGTGGCAGCGACCCGACCCCCCTCACACTGTGCCAGGAGGAGCCCCGTTCTGTGCCAGGCTGTTCCTACGGGCGCAGTGCTGGAGGGCGCTGCTCGCCGCTCCCCGCGGCTGAGCGGCAGGAAATGGGGAACAAACGTTAATTAAACGAATCGCCCCACCCTGCCGTGCGCGTGCGGCCTGGGCCCGGCCCGGAGCCCGCCCCGTGTGCCTGGGTCGCTGTGTAAATACCGCCGGTGCTGACTCAATGCAGACATTTTGTTTGTTTGTTTGTTCCGTTTTTGGTTGTTTTTTTTTCCTTTTTTTTTTTTTTTCAATAAAAGCGGAAAAACAACGGCTGCGTGTCGCTGCCTTCCTTCCCCCCCCCCGTGACCTCTGGCCTCTGCGCCGTCTCGCGCGTGACGTCACTTTCGCCTCCAGGCCGTGCCCTCGGCGCGCGCCCGCCCCCTGCCGGAGAGCGGGAACAGCCGCGGGGATCGATGGGAGGGCGCGCCTCGTGACGTCACAGCGCGCGAGGGCCGCCGGGAGCCGTAGTCCGTTCCCGCGGTGCCCCGCGGCGCCGCCCGCCCCTGCGGTTGCCCCAAGATGGCGGACCGGCGGCGGCAGCGCGCCTCGCAGGACAGCGAGGACGACTCGGACTCGGCCGCCTCCGACAGCGGCGACTCCGCCGCCAGTCCCGCCCGCTCCCGCTCCGGCTCCGCTTCGCCGCGGCCTTCGCACCGCCCTCCGCGAGGCGCCGCCGGAGCTCTGAGCGCCGGACCGCGGGGCCGCGGGGCCGAAAGCGCCGCCGGGGGAGGGGCGGCCAAAAGCGCTCCGCAATCCGAGTGTGTGAGTGGGGCGGGGGGGGCGGCGGTCCGCGTCTCTCGTGCCTCCCGGTGGTGCCGCGCGGCTCTCAAGGTGTCACCGCTCCGCTGCGCCCGGCGCTGCCCGATCCTCGCGGCTCCCTGCTCGCGGCGCTCGGTTGAGCTGAGCTCCTGGGCCGGATGCTGCCCTTCACTCCCTTCTGCTAAAGCGCCTTTTTTCTTCCTCTTTAGGAAAGCGAGGACGGCATCGAAGGCGATGGTGAGTAACGACTGAGTTACTGCTTGTGCTCACGGTGTGTGCAAAGGGAAACGGGGAAGGCGCTGCTTCCTGCAGTGCTGCGGCTGCAGTCCTGAGCATCAGCCATAATACCGCAAATGGGGGTGCAGGGGGTGCTGGTCAGCCCTCCCCAGGCCCACCTGGGTCCCCCCCACGTAGGGTGGTGCTCCTTCTCAAGGGGTCTTCGTGCTGCTGTGATGCCACACTACGTGGCCATGTGGTGTATTTGCTGGTGATGGCCCAGGACCCAGTGCTGCGATCACAGGGAGCTGTGCTGCTCTTCCTGCCCTGACAATGCCTCCTTTTTCTCCCCTGCAGCTGTGCTGTCAGATTATGAAAGCGCAGAGGACTCGGAGGTAAGTCAGACTGCGTGTCCTGGTGGTGGAAGGGCTCTGTGGGGTGAATTCACCTCGTGTAGTTTTAGCACAACACTGGTTTGTGCCCTTCATTCTCATCTGCAGCAGCTGTATCTGTCTCCAGGCTGCAGCTCGTGTGCTGTGTGCGTGTTACAGAGCTGTGCTGTGCTGCAGCCATTGGTGTGAGGGGAAAACGGGTTCTCCAGGTGCAGTTCCTCCTCCCCCGACGGTTCTGTCAGGGCAGGGCGGGTGCTGCTGCACCTGTGCTGCTGCAAGGTGAATGCAGGACAAGCACGTGGTCCGTTTCAGTCCTCAGACATCGCGTGGTGGGAGCGGAACGGCTAAGAAGGGTGTGGAAGAAGGGTGTAGGATGGCGGCTGCGTTGTAATTAGTTGAAATTAAAAGCTTAGCGCTGGGTTGGAAGCATCCCAAGGGGCATCCCTGATGTCTGTGTGTGGCACTGGGTCAGTGAGACGCCTGCATGCAGGCAGCTCTGCACTGCGTGTGCTGGGAGAACCTCCCCTGTGTGCTGAGCGCTGTGCTGGAGGGGCAGCCTCTGCAGCAGCCCATGGCAACACACTGCCCTGCGTTCTGAGATCAGAGGCATTTGGAGAAGCAGTCTGTTCCGAGGCAGGCTTTGTGGAGATCCTGAGGTGGACTTGGTTTAAAAAGAAAACCGCAAACTGAGGCGGATGGAATGGAAGCTGCTGGGCTGTGCAGTGCTGGAGAGGCCGTGCCCTGGGCAGGAAGGAGGGGGCAGCTCCCCTGGGCACCGCAGCCAGGCGGTGTTGCATCACCGGGTGCCAGGATGGCTCTGTTCCTGAGCCTAAAAATAATGCCATGTCTGGGTTTCCCCAGTGTAAACAAAAGGAGCAGTTGATGTGCAAATAGGCTGTGTTGAAAGAGAAAAATAGAGCAGCCTTCTTGTTAATCACACCGGGCTATTTTTAGTGGCCATCCCAAGCTGAGCAAGGCTTGCAGGCTCCTGGAGGGTGAAACAAGGTCACGCTCCTGAGAGCAGAGAGCTTGGAGTGAGTCAGCTGGGGGACTGCAGGGAATGAGGGGCTGCAGTGGGAGAGAGGGACAGCGAGGGCCCGGCAGCGTGGCTGTCATCCCATCATGGAGCTCCCATGGGCTCCTGGGCTGCATGAGGCACACGTGGCACTCGGGGGCGGTGAGGGGGAGCTGCTCCCAGCTCTGTGCTGGCAGCTGTGGTTGTTTGGTCTGATGTCACCAGTGGCAGCTGCTGGGGAGAGACCTTGGGTTTAATCTTTGTCTTTTCTGTAAAGATAGAGGGGTAGGGAGGACTTTGGGAGCAAATCCTGTGCTGTGAAATGGCCAGAGCTGTCAAAAGCGGAATGGGAACCGACCTGTAGGTGTGGGGACTTTGGGAAATCAGCAGGAGATCTGCTGCTCCAGGTGTGTGTGTGAGTAAAGCGGGGCTCTTTCAGGCAGAGGAAGAGGATTACAGCGAGGAAGAAAGTGCCAAAGTGGAACTGAAGCAGGATAGCAATGATTCCTGTGAGTCTGCAGCAAAAGCGGAGAAAGGGGATGAGAAACTGGACTCGAAAGGCGCCGTAACCGGTGAAAGGCAAAGTGGGGACGGGCAGGTAGGTGACATCTGTGTGCTGCCTGCTCTGCGGGGAGCTTCTCGCAGCGGGACTGCTGCAGTGTTAGGAGCTGTCTGATTCTGACAGGAGAGCACCGAACCCGTTGAGAATAAAGTTGGGAAAAAAGCTCCCAAGCACCTGGACGACGACGAGGATCGGAAGAACCCGGCTTACATCCCACGCAAAGGGCTCTTCTTTGAGCACGATCTCCGAGGGCAGACGCAGGAGGAGGAGGTCAGGTATGTGGCTCTGCCCGGCGCCGGTGATGCTTGCAGCGCTTGTGACGTGCTGGGAAGGGTCAGCAAAGAACTGTTCTGTTCTCTGGCCCAGCTGCCTGCTAGCAGTGTTCTGCAGGGACGTCTTGGCTTTTAGTTTGTAAAAGCAGGGACTGGGCACAGTAAACACGAGTAAAGCTTGCTTCCAGTGGGCAGCTGCCGAGCGGGAGGAAGGAGAGGCGCTGCCTCCCGCCCGCTCTCTGCCCTCCAAGCGTTTGCTGCGGGTTGGAGCCGCCGTCCCTGGCTTCCTCACAACCCGCCGTTCGTCCCCATGTGTGCAGGCCGAAGGGTCGGCAGCGGAAGCTGTGGAAGGACGAGGGCCGCTGGGAGCACGACAAGTTCCGGGAGGACGAGCAGGCCCCCAAAACCAGGCAGGAGCTGATTGCTCTGTATGGCTACGACATCCGCTCCGCTCACAACCCTGACGACATCAGGCCGAGGAGGATGCGCAAACCGAGGTGAGCAGCGGGCAGAGTGCGGCCTGCTCCTCGTGGGGGGCAGCCTGAGCCCTCTGCAGCGGGCTCTAAGCGGGGCTGGGGGCTCAGTCCTGGAAGTCGAGTCCCGGAGGCTCCCCCCACCCCGGCGTTTGGTTCCAGTCCTTCGCACTGCTGTTATCCCTCAGGTTTGGGAGCCCCCAGCGAGACCCGAACTGGTCCAACGAGCGGCCCAACAAGCCCCCGCGGCACCAGGGCTCCGACGGCACTTCTGCTGCCCCACGAACCTTCACCAGCAGGAGCTCTGCGGGAACAGGCAGGATGCCCCCTCCCAGGAACTACCCGAGGGTGGGGGGCTACAAGGAAACCCGCCCAGGATACCGAGCTTCAGAAGCCGGCGTGCAGCACCCGGCCCGAAATGGTGAGCAGAGCAAACAGGAGAGCGGCTATCGAGCGAAGCGCGCGGAGCAGAGCCCACCGAGAGAGAAGTCACCAGAAGTGGAAGCAGGGCACGTCCACGGCAGCCCCGTCAAGGAGGAGGGCGCCCTGGAAAACCAGACCGACGCCGTGCAGCCGCCGCCAGACAGACCAATAGAAAAGAAGTCTTATTCCCGGGCAAGGAGGACCAGAGTCAAAGCTGGGGACGCGGGGAAGCTGGCGGATGACGTCCCTGCTCTGGAAGCTCCCGCGACACCAAAACCCGTCCAAGCTGAGGCGTCCCCCCCGCCGGCAAAGAGCAGCAACTGGGAGTCGCCAGTGGAATCCAGCTTGGATGGACTTGAGCAGGAGATGATTCAGATGAATCTGACGGAGCAGAACTGGAGCCCGGGGCAATCTCAGTTCTTACAGCCCCGGGAGCTGCGGGGTGAGTGTGCGCCAGCTGGCAGCTTGGGTGCTGCTGCCCCTGCCTGGGGTCTGCAGCCACGTAGGTGGTCAGAGCTGAGCAGTGTGATGCTGTCCCAGCTGTGGAGGGTGGTGGAGACTCACAAGGTGGAGAAAATGCAGTGGGACGAGAGGAAGGGACGAAACAGAACATAAAAATGAGGAAATTAAACGTTCTGTTGTAGGTGAACTGGGTTAAGGCTCAGATGGGCATCAGAGCAGATTCCTTCTCCTTACCCTATTTGATAAGAATGGGGGAAGGGTCAGTGAAGGGGAAGGGCTGTGCGGGGAGCAGGCAGCAGGAACTTGCGGAGCTGTGTGAGTCACAGCCAGGCTCAGAGCTGGAGTTCAGAGGATAAAGAGCATTATGTGTGGTTATGGGTGAGGGTGATGAGTAACTGGGCTCCTGTGGTGTGCTGCTGGGGGCAGGAGGGAGCCGGCCTCCCTTCATCAACACAGGCATGCTGCAGGCTCTGAGCTGCTCTCTGGCCGCTTGGCTGCGAATCCAGCGGTGTGGTTGCAGGAGGCCGATCTGTGCTGGGAAGTGGGCAGGCAGGCTGAGCAAAGGACCGAATTCTTGTGGGGCAGCCATTGCAGATGTAATCATCCATTTGCAGAATTAAGGTTTTTACTGGGGAGAGTCAGAGTCCTTCCCAAGAGAAACAAAACTGGAGCAAGGAGAAGAAAGTGGCCTGCT